TACACTTTCGAATGTCTACGATGCATTGTTGCGATTTTTTCCCTTTTTCCCCTTTTTTCCCTTTTTTTCCGTTTTTCCATTTTTTCCCGATTGTTTCCCTTTCTTTATCAAAACTGGACTCGGACTCGGGTGGTGTGGACTCGGACTCGGACTCGGGTGGCGCGGACTCGGACTCGGACTCGGACTTGGGGGGTGCGGACTCGGACTCGGACTCGGACTCGGACTCGGGGGCTGCGGACTCGACTACAACACTGTTAATATTATATAATATATTCATTTATTTATTTATTTATTTATTTATTTTATTCGTTCATTCATTTATTTATATATTCATTTATTTATTCATTTCATTTTCATTTATTTTATTTATTTATTTATTTATTTATTTTATTTATTTATTAAATTATTTATTTATATATCAAATATGTGCGTACAGTACCGCCTCGAGAACGCTTCGTAGCATGTAAAATTTTAATGACCAGTCCACCGATGAATATCATAATTTAAAATATATATGTTGATTTTCTATTAATTTAATTGTTTGTCATAAATAATTTTTTAATATAAAGTAACTAATATAATAAATATAATAAGATAATTTAAGCGTATATATGATTATCAGACGCTACAATAATTATTGTACAGTAGTAGCCTACATTTGCACGAAACAAACCGAAATAGTCTTAGAAATGTAGGTATGACTTGCAAGCTTGTAAAATTGTTAATCGTTCAGCTAAATTTACATCTGGAGATGTGGTATGGTCTTGTGTTGCTCGTAGCAAGCCAAACTGTTGTCTCAAAGAAATGTGTACAGGTCGCATGCCACCACAGAAGAAACTTCTCTCCTGACGCTGGTTACCATGACTATTAAACGTACAACAGTTTACCACACAATCTCGAGTTTATATACACTATACTCACTATAAATACGTAACATAGTAGAGTTTCTTAGCACATGGATTGCTCATATTACGATGAAAGTTCCGAATGTGGCACACATATGCTATGACATGCAGGTGCTTTTCAGTATACCTTTGACGCGTTCTGCTCGTATGTACTGATTGTCGTTTGTTTCGTTGGCGTCGTGCGTACAGCTATTCCCGCACCCGAAGGAAGTGTCATGCTCACCGGCGACCAGCCCGGGGAAGGCAACGTGCATATCTATCACAACGGCGAGTGGCGAGAAATCTGTGCAGACGAATGGATCTAAAGGACGGCAGTGTCGTCTGGCGCATGCTGGATTCAGGTAATTAATACACCCGCGCGCGTGCGCACACGCACACATACTCAAGCACACACGCGCGATAACGCGCACGCACACGCACACAAGCACACACGCGCGATAACGCGCACGCACACGCCACAAAGCACACACACACACAACACACACACACACACACACACAAACCACACACACCACACACACCGCACGCACGCACACACAACACACACACAACACACACACACACACACGCACGCACCACACAACCACCACACACACACACACACACAGCACACACACACACAGGTTGTATACTATCCGGGTTCGTTTCGGGGCGCAGTAGCTGCTGTGATGTACGATCCGGGCTATGTAAAGATACGTTTATTTTGGTAGGTCATCATCATTATTGCTGCTGCTACTTTCACTGTCCCTGAACTGTCACACGGTGTCACCATAAGTTATCCCCGTCGTCCCGTTCCGTCACCGTTCCCGTCCGTTCTCGTCACCGTTCCCGTCCCGTTCCCGGTTCCGTCCCCGTCTCCATTTTCGTCCCCGTCCCGTCCCCGTCCCGTTTCGCTCCCCGTCCCCGTCCCCGCTGCCGTCCCCGTCCCCTCCCCGTCCCTGTCCCCGTCCCGTCCCCGTTCCGTCCCGTCCCGTTCCGTTCCGTCTCGTTTCGTTCCGTTCCCGTTCCCGTCCCGTTCGGTGCCCGTCCGCGTTCCCGTTCCGTCTCCGTTTCCGTCTCCGTTCCCGTGTCCGTCCCCGTTCCCGTGCCCGTCACTTTGTTACTATCGCTGTCACTGATAGTACGCGACATAGAGTGTAGTACGGTGTTTTAGCATTAAGATAGAGACATGGGGAATCGGCACTTACTAGGCAAATGTTATAGGCGATGAACCAAGAAGACATTAGCTACATAATTAAGAGCACCCATAATTCGGAATGGACAGAGGGCAGTGCCGAATGGTACGGAACACATTAACTTCACAAATGCGGAGGGCTTTATCAAACAGCGGATCATTAAGCGGGCAGCGGCCCACGATGGTCGGCCACTCCGGCCTGGTACAAGAGCACGGCGTCGCGACCGGTCGTTGTGGCCACTAGTCAGGCACAAACTAGGAAGTCTATCAGGTCGCGACGAACGCGCGTACGGTTAAAAAGGAGAGGTTTGTGAGAGAAAGGGGAAGAGACGCGCGACGACAACTTAGTATGTGTACACTGTTGCTATTCGTGTTTAGAATAAAGCTATAAGTTGTCACCGTTTATACAACTGTTACGTTC